TCTTAGCCTCACTTGGGGTTTGAATCTAGAATTTAATTAAGATATGACACACTTAATTAAATATCTAGAACCCAAAACTCACACTTAAGATAACCACTCTTAAGATATAGAATTGGGAATTTGGCTAAAATAGCATCACACTATTTTATAAATACTCAAAGAGTAAAAGGGAGTTTTTATTATTCAAGGTGTGTTACATTTGGCCATAGGGCATGATTTATATAGGGAGAGGGGAAGGGGGAAATACATAGTACAAAACATGAGGAAACTTCCTGGAAGCAACTATTTCAAAAACATGGGATAATTCCCATTTATTCTTGTCTCCTTAATGGAAAGAAATCAGAGATGGGGGCTGGTTTCTGGGGCTGTTGTTGGATTATTATTGTGGGCAAGTTATGGTGGAGTGGCTGCCTTTTGGAGGGTATTGGGTGGGTTGATTTGGCCAGGCAGGGATGGGGAATATAATGTGGGGTTTTGGACTTATGGGATTGGGTTATTTGTAAGGGAAAATGGGCAGGAAATGAATGGCTAGTGGTGGGTCAGGTTTTGGCTTTTTGTGGGTGTTTATGTTGGGATTTTGAAGTGTATTTTGGCCAGGGGTGAATGGAATAAAGGGAGGGTTTTATTGGCTTAATAAAAGGCTTAAAAAAAAGAAAATAACAACAAACAATAGGTTTTATTTTACACACTCTTATTTTTGGTCCTGGGCTAAAATAAGAGTAGGAAGAACTTTATTTTGGATATCAAAAGGAAATAAAATACTTTTGGATATTTGGGAGGGGTTGGGATTATGGTGGAGCCATCCAGGGGTATAACATACTCCCCTTATTCAAAAAAAGTTTGTCCTCGAACTTTCGCACCACCGTAAGAGATTTTGGTTTCATATGAGTATTCCCGGATCAAATGGGAAACTTATTGAACCACCAACGGGGAGGCTCTCTCCAGGATCTATAGACACCTTGTTGTGTAATTCCCAGAATGTTATGGTATTTTTGAACAACATATAATACTCCGGGGGATCATCCGTCGGGTATTTTCCCGAGATCAGTACTTCTTCCTTCACACCTATTTTAACACAATGATCAAAAACAAAGGAATTGTCATAATCATCAGCATTAGAAATGAGGGCATGATTAGGCAGCTCCGGTGCCCCTGAAATAAGTTCATCGATGATGACTTCTTCTTCATTTTCAACAAGTCAAAGACATCCTCAACGAGGACGTTTATATCGTCAGAGCTTTTTGTTTCCTCATCAAGAGTTGGTTCTTCAGGTGGAAATGGATCATTTATGGCTCCCTCAAAGGAACAATTTTCTTCATCATCCTTGGTCCACTCTTCATATGGGATGGCATGCTTGTTCGAGCACTCCAAATTGCTATGACCATAGCCACCACACATGAAACACCGTCGGGAAGCCCATTGTAATAATGCTCCGTTTGCAAGGATAATTTCCAGATTTTTTAGATGTCTTTTAGAGACCATATCTCACTAATCCAAAATTGGAATTGGGTGACTCCAACTCTCAGTGTTAGATATTGAAGTCCTTAATGACATATCAGAAATTCAGAGCCATTGAAAAAATGTTTTCTACCTCTTTGGAGACAAACTCAGCAAGGTAGACAGAATCCGGTCAGGACTGTGTTATCAACTTCGGGAGGGCGTATCTCTCAAACCGTAACTCGGAATTGAGTGAAATCAGCGGCCAAACGTAGATAAAAGGTTAAACTACTGAACTGGAAAGTTTCACCTTCAAATACGTCGTGTAACTTCCTCCGTGCTCAATGCTATGGAACTGAAAGTCTCTGAAAAAAAAATCAGCAACCTTTGGGCAACGTTTCCAAAGCCGGTCCTCAAGGTGATCGTCGAGACTTAAGAAAGCCTCGAGGCTGAGCTCTGATACCAAATGTTAGGCCTGAACCGGGGGTCTAAACGAGTTGATATTTTGAGGAGGAATCAAGGAATGATTCAGCTTTGAGTTCAGGGTTCTAGAGCGGGAGATAATCGATTTACACAAAGTGACAATCGATTATTGAAGGTTGCAGAATTTCTGGGGAAGCTGATAGTCGATTATCTTAAAGGGATAATCGATTATTGAGCCCTGCAGGTGTTTCCAATGGGATTGATAATCGATTGTGGGGAATGATAATCGATTATTTGGCAGAATTCTGGGCAGGAAGAAGGGTGTTTTTGTGGGGGAATGGATTGTAAATATATGGAGATGATGAGGGAGTTCTTTTGGGTATTTTAATTGGAAGAAAAGAGTGAGATTAAGAAGAGAAATGGGGAGGTATGAAATGGGAGAAAATCAGGGATGGATAAACCAAGTTGGTGATTAAGAGATATTACACACTCTTAGCCTCACTTGGGGTTTGAATCTAGAATTTAATTAAGATATGACACACTTAATTAAATATCTAGAACCCAAAACTCACACTTAAGATAACCACTCTTAAGATATAGAATTGGGAATTTGGCTAAAATAGCATCACACTATTTTATAAATACTCAAAGAGTAAAAGGGAGTTTTTATTATTCAAGGTGTGTTACATAGTACAAAACATGAGGAAACTTCCTGGAAGCAACTATTTCAAAAACATGGGATAATTCCCATTTATTCTTGTCTCCTTAATGGAAAGAAATCAGAGATGGGGGCTGGTTTGTGGGGCTGTTGTTGGATTATTA